ATTTTATTTCTATTTTTCTCTGACAAGCTATTATGAGCCTTCCTTTCTCTACTCTAGATCCTTGTGGAGGAAGTTAGTGTCACTTTAGAGTTAGTTTAGAAAATAAATAAAAATGGAATAAAAAATACCATAGAACTAACTAATGATGATATACAGAAAATTATATGATTGATGAAGGATGTTAAATCTCCTGTTTACAGTCCTTTAAACGACTGCTAATAATTAACTGAAATACAAACCGTACTGACAAACTCAGATTAGAAATCACAATTAGATTAATCACACTACTTCTTATCCAAATTCCGAGAAGGGCTATTTTTATTCTCCACAATAATGTTGGATTGAACAGAACATTGTAGTGTTAGTATATTTCAATTTTATTTTTATTTCTTTGCTTATAAATTATAACATTGTTTCTTTTATATCAAGGCATGATATTTTTCATAAAGCTTCAGCATATATATATAATTTTTTTGGTAGAACAAAAATATACAATATCCCTATGCTTCGATGGAACATACGATGAAGCATGACTCTAGTTATTATAAATACTGGCAACTTCTATCACGTGAAACGCTTTGTCAAAAGATGTGTTGAAGGCATTTGATCATCAAAAGGGTACTAATTAGCAAAACGCATTAGGTTTGCCTGAGGAAAAAAAGGTTTGTAACACTCAAGGAAGAAACTAGGATTACTTCAGTTTTAACTTTCTTTAATGTATTCAGTATGTAAATACTTTCCTACATCACCCAATCTGGCTAACATAAAATAAAAAGTAAAGAATCAATAACAACATATTTACCTTGCTTAAAATGACTACTTTTTACAGACTAGCAATGAGCATTTCAAATAGAGTAGGCACTTAATAAATGTATGTAAATCCAAAGTGCGTTTTCTACGACTTACATTATGCTTTAAAAAAATATGCTTTTGAAAAACATAATCATTATGAACTATAAAATGTCTTTCCCCTTATCTCCTCATTTTGTTCCCCCATCCATTTTATTTTCATATTAGTTTGTAAAATCCCTAATAGATGAATTAGTGTTGATTTATTTGAGCACATATATATTGAGACCCTCTGGAAAAAGGCTATTGATACTTGACAGTCACAAAAAAGCAATGAATTTTTCTTCTTCCTGAAATTTTCAATTGTGAAATAGTAGTATCTTCAGAAGTGTCTCCAAGCAATTAATATTTTGACAGCAGCATGTATAAATGTAGGCTCCTTCCTGTTTTGTCCCTTTATCATATGGAAAATATCCAAGTAAATAACTTTTCCCTGGTTGGGCATCAGGGTGATTGCTAAACTTGGGAATTGCTACTTTTCCAACCTCACCGAAACATTCATCTAATCAAAAAATGTCTTTAACACAACTTACCAAAGGTATGTTGTAATTACATTAAAGATAGTTACTGACAAAGGGCAGGAGTTTAAGGCAAAATCAAAGAAAGAGGCATTGGGGTACTTAAAAAATATTTTCACGGTAAAGAAAAAAATACTCCCTTAATTCAGCTCTGGTTACTGAAAGACTGGCACAGATATCTTCTTCTGTGCTGAAGGTTTAAATAGCTATTACAGCATTTCATAAATTTAAACTTGAATTGAAAAGCTTTTCTTGTCTCCAAAGAAAAATAGTCACATATTACTTACATAGTAATTACAGGCTATGCAGCTGCCCTACAAAGCTTTACTATAAATGTGTTAAGCATGAACCACTACACAAACCTTATTCAAACTGCATTAAATGTTAAGCCAAAGAAATGTCATCCTCTACACCACTCCACACAATTGCTTGCACAAGAACAATGGCCATCTCCCTAGTCTGAGACCTAAATAATGTAACAGAATCAATGTTGTGGATTTAGGCTATGGTTGGTTAAAAGTCATTACTGTTATTTCTCACCAAGTAAAGAGGTCTCTTTCCCCCTCATTACGAGTAAGTGAAGCTTATGCTAATGCAGACAAATCTAAGAATGAATAAGCTTCTTTGAAATACCATTTAAAGATTGAGAATTCAAGAAAAAGTACTTGGCTTCTACCATGATAAAAATACTGACCTCAATTTCTATATTTCACTGATCCTTGCTTTAAGCCTTTCTAACATACAATTTAAAGCTTACACAGCATTTCCATTTGCTTAATACTTTAAAAATATTTAGCTGGTCACACAAAGCCCTGTAGTAGTATCATGCTGGTAATAGAAGAATTAAAGAGGCCAAACCTATGAAAATGTTTTAAGGGAAGTTAGTGGAGGTAAGAGTTCTCAAAATTATAACCTTGTCTTTAAAGACCTTTAATTCATAAAATCTAAACATGTAGTTTCATGCTGTTGTTTGATTTGTATGTATTATTTGAACTTTGAAGCAAATACATTTGGTAAGATTTGGAGAATACTGTAGCAACTAGAGATGTCAGGTTTATGACCTAACACCTAGAGCAATCTGGGAACAAGTCAAACTTGGCTTAAGTTTTCTTCTACCTTAATTCAAAGACATAGGCCCATTGAAATGCAACACATTCTTACCACTTTCTATTTTTGAAATTTTAGTCAACTGGATATTGTTTAATGATTGAAAATGGCAGGATCATCAGGGATGTTATGTGGATACCATGTAACCCCTGATATCATGTGACAAAATGGGCATTCTCTGTGGCTTTCTTCCTAAAATCCCCCAAACCCAGCCTAATCATGGGAAAACACTAGACAAATCCAAGTTTGGGGAACATTCTTTAGGAAATCTGGACAGTACCCCTTAAAACTGTCAAGGTCACAAAAGCAAGGAAAGACTGATAACCTGTCATAGACCAGGGAAGACTGGGACAATATGACAACTAAAAGGAATAACCTATAATATCCAACTAAATAAATATTCTAGGGCCGGCCCCGTGGCTTAGTGGTTAAGTGCGCGCGCTCTGCTACTGGCGGCCTGGGTTTGGATCCCGGGCACGCGCACTGATGCACGGCTTCTCCGGCCATGCTGAGGCGGCGTCCCACATACAGCAACTAGAAGGATGTGCAACTATGACACACAACTATCTACTGGGGCTTTGGGGGGAAAAAAAAGGAGGAGGATTGGCAGTAGATGTTAGCTCAGAGACGGTCTTCCTCAGCAAAAACAGGAGGATTAGCACGGATATTAGCTCAGGGCTGATCTTCCTCACAAAAAATAAATAAATAAATAAATAAATAAATAAATAAATAAATAAATATTCTAGATTGAACCCTGATGAAGGAAGACATTAATGGAAAAACTGGTGAAATCAAAATAATGTATAAAATTTAATTGTTATGTATCAGCATTTGTTCTTTAGGAGTGACGAATGTTTCATAGTAATGTAAGGTGTTAACAATAGCGGAAACTGGGTATGGGATATACAGGAATTCTCTGTACTGTCTTTGGAACTTTTCCATAGATCCAAAATCATTCCAAAATGAAAGTTGTTTTTCTTTTTAAATGGACAAGGCTATTTACTTACAGTAACTGAAAATTAATCCTTGGCTACACTAGGCTAAATTTTAATGCAATTAATCTCTTAGTCTTACATCAACAGTTTAAAATTATACATTAAGTGCTGTCAAATTTAAGGAAAGTTACTGACTATACATAGAGGATGGACACCAACAGCTCAGTTCCATAAATTCTCCTTGCTTTTTAACCTGCTTCTCCACTGAGAAGGCTTGAGGACCTCACATTCACAAACCTCTCCTGATAACAACATTCCTTTAAAACTAGACGTCTGACCACAAAATGACAAAAGAGACGTAGAGGGAACTTTCCCTATTATTTAGGCTGAAAAATTAACCGAATTAAAATTTTCACTTGTCTTATTCCTATAGATTGCAAAGAACCTCTCACTGACTATTTAAAATGTTTGGTTAATTTGAAGCAAATTATGCTATTGATGATACAACCCTAGACAGTATAGTATTATAAACCTAGGAATATATAAAATTGAGATTTTGAAATGAAGGTATAAATGCAGGAAAGTATTGACAGCAATGCCAGGGAAAGCACATAAAAGGCAATTGACTTCTGTGAAAGCATGTTTAATTTCAGTCAGTTGAATGAAACCTAATTTCTTTTTAGGAAAAAAAAAAGTAGGAAAAAAGCAGGATGTGATATTTCATGGACGATGATTGCAGTAGATGTGATGGCTGTAGTTTCAAAAGGTAGGACTACAAGGAAGGCAAAAGAAATCTTAGCGCTAGACTTGCTCATTATGTAGAAAAAACACTTGAATGATTTATTTGATCATAAAGGGCAAGGGGTTGGGAAAATTTAGACAACAAAAAAGTTAAATTTACTTTAATGAAAGATGACAAGCATTTTTGGACTTACCCTAGAGAATTGAGAGATTGGGTTTGGGGGGGGTGGTGATAGGACAAATAAAAAAAGAGATGGAGGAGATCTCCATGAAGAGATGGCAAGTGAGAAAGTGACAGGAGGTCCCTAAGTGACAAATTTCCTATGCAGATAGTGATGTCAACTACTTGCTGCCTTCTCAGTATTGTGTTGAACGAGATCTCTCTTTACTCCAGACCTTAAAGTTAGCTACACTCAGCAGCCTTTTTTTAGTGATGCTCTGGGCAATAAAGGAAGGCAGACAGTATCCAATGTGGGGTAAAGTATCACGGCAACAGAGCAGGAGTTGAAGGAGGCAATTGGGGATGGTAGTCAAGAGTTCAGCAGGAACAGAATGGCAGATTTAGAATGGGCCACGAGAAAGAAAGCACCTCAGGAATCCTTGATACTCGGGGATAATAGATGGAGTGGAGGATCAGGCATTTATGTGAAAATTCAATGAAAGAATGACATCCAAAGCCTGGGGGACTTCACTACATAAAACTTTTTGCCCATTTGTATATGCAAATATCATATTGTGAAAATAATACACCAAGATATAAGAGTGTCTGGTGGTGCAATTGGGAATGTCTTTTTCTTTTCTAACTATTCAACGGTTATCTAACAATTTTCCATCCATATGATGTGCTTACCTTCCTCTGGGCAAGTCTGCATCATCTTTTTTCCACCGCACAGTTGGTTGAGGATCTCCCTGGACCTGACAACGAAATTCTACAGCTTCTTCCTCCAGCACCACCTGGTTAATTGGCCTCCTGAGAAATGTGGGTCGTTCTTAGGGGAAAAAGAAAAACAAACAGTAAAATGAAATGAATGTTGTACATGTTTTAAGTACATTATGGAAAAAGCATAGGAAACAAGTGGTATATTTTTGGTACATAGGTACCTAACTCTGTATCTCAATTATGTCTTGATAAGGCCTTAGGAATCCAAGGTGACTGAAGAAAATAAAATATTTTGAACACAGAAATAGCTATGGTTTCTATATAAAGCCATACAACCTTTTGGAAAAAAGATATCAAATTGATTCTCCAGTGAATTCCTGAGCTAAATCATGTGGATCCTATCTTAAAAATCTGAACACTGAATTCCACAGAAATAAGGAAAGAGATAAAAGTGATTAATCTATGACAATGGCTCAGAGTGGGAAAAATAAAAGTTGAAACTGATAGAAAATATCAAAAAGAAAACAAATATTAATATTCCATCAAGAATGCTAGAGAAAACAAAAAAAGTTGTGTTCTCACACATAAGTGTTATCTAAATTTTCCCACTTCGGCTATCATTTGACAAGGACCCAATATTTCCATGAATGTTTTCATGTTTGGAAAGCTGTCTACCTGATTTTTTTTTTTTCTTAAATAAAAAAGCTGTCAATCTGATGTTTTTCTTAAATAAAAAACACTGTTTTTTAATTATTAATTATTGTAAACTATTTACTGTCATACATAATTTTCTAAGGTGACTTCCAACTATTTTCTCCTAAGTGTTCCAGATACCTGCTCATTTATTCTTAAATTTTATGTTTCTTTATTTCTCCAGTATTTTGTTTTACTGTTTCCATCCTTTGCTCTTTTGTGGTTAATCTGTACCCAGCACTGTTAAACTGCATTCTAGCCCTCCTCTATATAAAGCTAGGGGAAAATAAATCCCTGTCTATAAGAATTTTACCACCCAAGAGAAATATAAAACAAAGAGTAGTTTTACATATCTCTAAACACTTCAATTCCTTGTCTAGTTTCTTCCCTTTTTGATAACGATCTAATACAGGAAAAATTACCATTTAAATTTTTATTAGCACGTCTCCAAATCACAGGCAAGTCCAATATTACTACTTATTGAAGTAGAAAGAGAAGTCAAGGAAAAGAAAGATGAAATCCACAGGGAGTTGACACAATTTATCTGGCCATATGGCCATATTTAGGCATTTAAGACTTTAGTTTCAAATCCAATTTAAAAATGTGAATACAGTGGCACAAAAACTGAAACATATTTAGCAGGAAACCTTTAAGGAAAACAAATCACTTCAAATAACATATGTTAAGAGCATAGAATAGAAGTATATGATTTTATTGACTAAAGATCCATATTTGTAAAACAAATGTATAAGTTGTAAGAGCCATATTTTATTGCAATAAAGTCGACCACCATTGGTATTCAGGAGGAAGACAACTGTATCTCTTTACAGTCAGGCTGACAGTAGGGATCAAAATTTTCTTTAAAACACAGACCTGCATATGCTAAAGTATCTGTACTACTAGAACCCCAAATTCAGAACCAGAAAATAAGGCAAATAGGATTTTATCATGGAGAGTTGTTTTAATGCAGAATTTAGAAATAATCTATAAAAACCTGGGGAAAAAAGCTTGCGTCTAAAGATTATAGGTAGTCAGAATCAACGAGTAGCTAAGTGTGCCCTCTCTACAACAGAACGAATCTCCATGTTGGATGGAATGATTCAGTGTTATCCTTTTGAACTCTGAACACTATGTGCTCCAAACTCCTATTTTAGCATTGGCATGGTTGGTACTGAGCTATTGTTTCTGGCAGTAAATAGGCAATAGGATCAGTGTTTCCTTACGAGTGCTCGAAATGTTAATAGTAAAAATGAATCATTAGCATAGAAAGTGGAATTGACTTATTCTTTGCTCTCACTTGGAGATGTTCATCCAATTCATCTAAAAGCTGCAATAACTCAGTGTTAAAAGAGAGCTAAGTCATTGTTGATATCATTTGAGACTGAGAAATGATGTGTCAGGAGACTCTTCCTGCCCTCTCTGATTTTAATGGGGATATCGTACTACAACCTGGCATATGGATGAGCAAGCTGAGAGAAGTCTTTCCCTCATTCACTCATTCATTCAGCACATGCTAATAAAGGTTCTCCTATACCAGGCTTCCAGCTTGGTAGCTGATGAACAGCCTGCAGCGTGGTTTCATCAGAAAAGTGGTGGGAGATGAAGCTAGTCAGATAGTGAGTGGTGACACCTATGAAGGGCCTGGTATGCCATGTCAAGGAATGTGAGCTCTGCCCTGAGGGTGATAGAGAGCAGTTTAAAGACTTTAGTAAGTAAGAAACATTTTTTTTCTTTTTTTTGACGAAGATCAGCCCTGAGCTAACATCCATGCTAATCCTCCTCTTTTTGCTGAGGAAGACCAGCTCTGAGCTAACATCTATTGCCAATCCTCCTCCTCTTTTTTCCCCCCAAAGCCCCAGTAGATAGTTGTATGTCATAGTTGCACATCGTTCTAGTTGCTGTATGTGGGACACAGCCTCAGCATGGCCGGAGAAGCGGTGCGTCGGTGCACGCCCGGGATCCGCACCTGGGCCACCAGTAGTGGAGCACACGCACCCAACCGCTAAACCATGGAGTCAGCCCCAGAAACATTTTTAATAAGAATATAAAAAGATCATGCTGGCAGATCTGTGAAAGATGAATTAGAACAGAAACATAAAGCAGTGAATTAGGTCAAACACTTATTGTAAGAAATTATTTCAGCTTTGATCCAGTGGTTCTGGGGATATGGAAAAGAGGACAGAATGAAGAGATATTGGAACTGAGTGATCAATCAGATGTGGATGGTGAAGAAGAAAAGTCTAGAAAGATTCTCAAGTTTTCCATTTAACAAATTGGAATAGATGACAGGTAAGTATGGATATGGTGTGTGTGTGTAGATCCTTTCACTGCAGAAATGGTACATATGAGAAAAATGAACCTCTTATGCTTAAGCCATGGTTAGTCAGGTTTCTCTTACTTGAAGCCAAATGCATTCTTAATTAGTAAGATAAAGGAGGCCACTTTTATAATAGAGGGGAAAAGAAAAATAAATATTATCATATCTGTAAACATATAAAAGGTTTTAGATTAAAAATCTAAATAAAGAAGAAATCAAAAGAAACTTCTTAAGCATGAGGAAGATATTTTATCAGAAATTAAATGCAAAAATTATTATTATTATTATTATGTATTTAGTATACAACACACTATTTTGTATGTAGGTCATCTCCACAGCATGGCTTTGATGAGTGGTGTAGATCTGCGCCCAGGATCTGAACCCGGGCTGCAGAAGTGGAGCACGCCAAACTTAATCACTACAGAACCAAGCTGTCCCTGAATCTTCCTCTTTTTGCTTGAGGAAGGTTTGCCCTGAGCTAACATCTGTACCAATCTTCCTCTATTTTGTATGTGGGTCGCTGCCACAGCGTGGCCACTGATGAATGGTATAGGTCCACACCTGGGAACCAAACCTGGGCCACTGAAGCGGAGTGCACAGAACTTAACCACTAGGCCATGGGGCTGGCCCCTGCAAAAATTATTTTTAAAGTAATATACTAAAATCATGCCTATTACAATCAGGAACAAGATGGACATGCCAATATCAGTAGTCAATAAGAAAAAGAAGGAAAGTGTGAGAATTGGAGAAGAACCAAAATAATCATTCCTTGCAGACACTCTGCAAAACAAACAATATAGAACAATAACTTTGATAATTGATAACTGCAACAAAAAATAAGAACTACATAGGATCATTGCAGTAATGCTGGCAGTATTGGAAAATGGAGGATTTTAGGATAAATTGTAGCAAATTCATACATTGAAAAACTAGTATGTCACTGGAATGTTAAAGGTACCTATCTAACCATCTAACACGGAAAATTTTTATGGCATGAGGCTGACCATAAAGTAAATTGCATAACAGTATGTGAGACTAGTTCCATTAAAACACACATGAATATTTTCAGGCAAGGTTTTTGTATGTTTCCTTTAACCTGCTACCAGTCACGAAATCCCAACATATGAGTATAATTAATTGGAAGGGCAAACTTGACATTAGACTTGTCACAAAACTAAAGTTGTCTTTTGATCTAGGGGACACCATCAGGATCCTTGAGGGATTTTTTGGTTATCATATGTGTTCTAAGCCCCACTGTTTTGTATAGAGACACATGGAAGAAACTGATTTATAATTTCAAGAAGAAGCAAGATATAGAATTCCCTGCTGCTGTTCTGATGAACTCAGCAGGGATGGAGAACTTCGAAATGAACTTTCTCTATTCCTTTCTGCCCTCAAGCAGAGTCTAGTTGCCTAGCAACTAGATAACCACAGGAGAGTATGTGGTATAGAATTTTTGGAAGCCTAACATTGGTTCATGGTGGAAAATGTAATTCAAGTGATAGAAAAATAATGGACAATGCAAAGAATAACCTAGATCAAAGTCATTTGCATGTGCAGGGCACATCAAGATGGGTTTTACCTGAGCATCTTAGGTTGTGCCTTCCAACAAAGTAACATCAAAATTTACTAATGCATTGTAGCTTGGTCACAACTTTTATACTGTTATTCTGAGAATTTCCACAGCACCCATTCCAGCAACTATCTCTAAATTGTATTATTCATTATTCCAATTGTTTTCTGCTAATTATACTAAACTCATCTTCTACTTTGCAATGATAACTGCCTACAAAAAAGTTGTTAAAAACTGTAGGTTTGCCTATCATTTATTTAAATGGAAAGAAATTTTTTGTAAGAATGGTTTTCCAGTTCCCTCAACTAGAGTTCATTTCCAGAAAATCTGAGAATCATAAACATGAATATTAAAGACTAAAGAAGTTGTATAGGGAGAAAATGTATTGGTGGCTACTGTTATAATAAGCCAAACAGAAAGCCACGCCCCTTTCTGACACAAATTACAAAAATTACAAGGAAATGTCTTGGGATTTACTTTTTTTTGTCAAAATCATCTGCAAAGAAATGTAGAATTAGAAGTATTA